GGAAACTTTTCAGTTCAAAATGGTTTGGTTATGAATTGCTAAGTTTTTTGCGAGACAAAAATAATCCTCGAAAGAGCTTGCAAGTTGGATGTTCAGAAGAAACACACGTAAGTTAATTAATATTTATTATTATTTTTTAAAGTTTATCAAATCCAAAAACTAGTATAAAACAGTGCATTTTTTGATATGCTGTACATACATGGTTAAATAGTATATATTATAATAAAAGTATTATACAAGTTAACAGTATTGTAATTGCCATGGTACTTGACCTTGATTTGTCATAAAATACTCAGCATACTCATCTCTGATGGCCCATGCCTCCATAGATGCTTTTCGTGGAATATTCGTAAGAGATAAAAACGAAGCACTCGGTTGGGGATCTCTTCTCCAACAACCTGGTTCTATTGTTCCTGTTTCTAAATCTTCCTTATCAAATGTTCCTGGAGGATTGTAATTACTTCTGGTTTTTGAATTTTTTCTTAAGTAATTATGAAGCAAAATGCATGTTAATACACTTCTTCATTCCTAGAATGAAGATCGTCTAGAAAAATTACACAATAAGCCTGATAAATTTGATATAATAGGTGAATTGGTAGCTCAAAAGTTAAGGAGTCTACCCACACCCTATGCCCAGTCCACAGTAGAACATCTAATTCACAATCTATTATGTGACGCTGAAATGGGCAAGTATAATGAACCCAAGAAGCCACCACTATTCCAGGTACAACGCTAAATGGAAGAATTTATTCAGTTTCCCACAGGATTTTCTGGTTCTTCGTGCTCAAATCCACTTAGTCTCAACACAAATGTTCACTCAACTTCACCCAGCACTGACACACAACATTCATACTCAAATCCTCCCAACATTGACACACGTTCATACTCAACTCCTCCCAGCATTGATACACATTTATACTCAAATCCGCTCAACACGCCACATTCATACTCAAATCCACCCAGCGCTGACCCACAAAATTCATACTTAAATCCACCAAGCACCAACACACAACCTTTATTTTCACATCCACCTAGTATTGACACAAAGCTTTCTCAGTATTCAGATCAAGAAAACGATCGAAATTGATGATGAACTTTTTGAATGTAAAAACAAGTAGACTCGTCATTGTTTTGTATGTAGTATGTACCTATCGTCAATTTCTTTTATATTAAACATTTAACCAATAAATATAGAGTTTATTTTAAGGGATATTAACAGAAAAATAGTAATGAAAAAAGTTTAACATACCTGTACATAACCACTAAGACTGTTAATTAAAGCTTTACATACTTCAAGTATTATTACAGATATTGATTGCTTTGATACTTTTGAAAGATACATTAGGCTGTGGTAGGAATCACCTGTTGCTAAAAATCTTAAAGTGATTGCTAACCGTTCTGTTACACTTATAGCATTTCTAAAGTTAGTATGTCTTTTTGCAACTGCAGGACCAACAAGGCATATTAGATTCTCAAAATCTTCGGTGGACATTCTTAAAAAATTTTTAAAGCTTGATCGAATTTCACCACTTAGTCCAATATCATCTGCGCGCAGCTGAACTAACAATTTGTCTATCGAACAACTTTCTCGCATTTTTAGGCTTGGTCTAATCTAAAAACGTTTGGGTTTTCGTTTAGCAACCTGGGATGATGATGAGAGCAAAAAAAAAAACAACTTGCGGCTAGCAATAAATCTTCAGTTTCATTTTTTTCTTGATTAAAACGCCACATGGTTAACCAACACTAATCACAACAACAACGTCACCAACTGAATTTTGTTTTTATATTTTGTTGTTCTGGTGTGGACAGTTTGTCTCAATTTTGTTTTGTCTTTTGACGACAAATTTTGTCGCCGGTTTATCGTGTTTTTATTTCAGAATTGTGTTTTCGTTTTGTCTGCTTGGTCTGGACCCGGCATTAGAGTTCAAAAACATCGAGAATCAGGCGCAGAAGAGGATGCGGTTCCAAAAAGAAGGCGATGCAGAAGCAGTAAATCGGAAAAAAAGAAGAAAGGAGGGTAAACTATATTAGGTTTTTGAAATGTACATTTTAATTAGGGCAAGATATATTTTTATTTTTTATTTTATATATCTTTCACTTCTATGCAAGTAGTTTCTCACTGTAACAGATGTATTGAAAAGCTATTTTCATTGATATGAAATACAGTACAGACTGTTAATGATCAACAGAGCTGTGCATTTGAGAATAAATAAAATAAAGATGTTTCGGTTTACTCGTATTCATTTACAGTATTTTATAATTGCCTTTACTCGAGGGATTTAAGGCACTTTCAAAAAGTTGTTTCATTGGAATAAAAGTTAATTATCCACCTAATTACCGTTCTAAAAAGGTGTGCTATGTCGGTAAGTAGAGAATGATTCAATCGTGATCTACTAACAATAGTCTATCAATAAACTTTAAAAGCTCTCATTTTTATGCAGGTTGGAAGTCTGCATAGATTTATACAAGCCTGGGTTCCAGGGCACAAAGTCTACATAGACAATGAGAAATCTGATAAACTGGCCCAAGAAGTTGCTTGTATGCCATTAACTGACTCGTACTGATTTGACGAGGATACTTGTCAGATAAGTCAAAAATACAGATATATTTCGATTTGGTTCATCTACAACTGCCGATCAAAACGGAAACTCTTGTGAATTTTTGAAGAAACATCAGCATCTAAATTATTATTTTGCTGATGATAATGTGGTTACAAGTTGTATTACAATCAATGCGAATACAGTAGAATCTCGATTATCCGTCTCTCTATTAACCGTCACCTCAGCTGCAGTTATGCCAACACCGCATTTTTTTACGTAAATATTTTAGTTCTTACCAGAGCTCTGGATTAAATTTTAATTTAAATAGGTGATGATAACTGATACCGTGCTTTTATAGTTCTATTGTTATAATCGCAAGCCGAAAATAAAACGCACAGCAAAATAATTATTCCAGTCAATATCTGTGTTTCACCATAATTCAGTTTAATTCAAATTCGAACGTTGATTGTGTCACTTAGTCGTTTGATCAATTAAGTTTTGAAAAATGCAGCCTTCCACATATGGAGCATCAAAAATAAAACGTGTTGTTTTGTCAGTTGAAAAAAAAAATTTTTGCAGAACTAAAGAAAAGTCACATTGAGTAAAAAGTATGATGTTCCGAGAACAACAATCAATGATTTAATGAAAAATGCTGATGGAATTGAAAGTATGCTTCACAAATGGAATCGTTGGATGGCCGGGTGAAACATCGTAAGACAATGAAAAAAAGCCACAAATGAATCACTCGACACGGCTCTGTATTTGTGGTTGTTTCAAAAAAGAAGCGAAGGTATTCCTTTGTCTGGACCAATTGTTGCCGAAAAAGCGTTGTTTTTCAACTTGAAATTGAATAGCGATCCTTAATTCAAACTAAGCAGCGGGTAGTTGGAAAAGTTCAAAAATCGCCACGGTATACAGGAACTAAAAATAAAAGGTGAAAAATTGAGCGCCGTAAGTATTGACGTCGTTAACAAATATAAAAGAAAGTTTCACGCTATGATCGATGAATATGATTTGACACGTGATCAAGTGTTCAATACGGATGAAACTGGTTTAAACTACAAAGCATTGCCAACAAAAATACTCCCTGCACTGTCTGAAAAATATGCACCCGGACTTAAAACGCAAAAGAAACGAATCACAGCAATGATGTGTTCGAATGCAAGTGATGACCATCGCCTTCTTTTATTATTGATTGGTACAGCAAAAACACGTTGTTTCAAGGGCATAAATATAAACGCGCTTTCCGTTAACTACTACGCACAACATAATGCATGGATTGTTTTTTAGGTTTTTATACCAGACGTTAGACAATACTTGCAAGCAAAAAATTTGCCACCAAGGGCGATTCTCATTTTGGACAATGCACCTGCCCATCCTAAGGCCGGTATGGTGCGAAGTGACGATGGAAATATCATCAGAGCCGGTATGGTGCTCTTTTCTGCCTGCGAATACAACATCATTGGTAGAGCCATTGGATCAATCGGTCATTGAAACATTCAAAAGAAGATATAGAAAAAAAATTATTCAAAACCTAGTTATGGAAGAGGAATATTCTTTGCCAATATACTGGGAAGCATAGAATTTAAAACACCAGTTGACAATGCTGTGGACGCTTGGGCTGATGTTTCGGAAGTAACGCTGAAAAGAGCGTGGAATAAATTATGGCCTGAATCAACTCAAGATAAAAATGCCCCCGTGACAGTCGACTGTGATGCGGTAACAAATGAAGTTATTGTTGAATCAACTGTTGTGTTTTGGCTATGCCAGCAATGGCTATCGATTGCTGACAGATGATGAAATCATTGAAATGGCAACAAAGGCGGACGAAACTAATTCAGAAGCTGACACAGACTATGACGGTGACGATATTGATGATGCTATTGCAACTCACAAAGATTTGCGTAAAGAAACTAGAGAAGCTGCATCGCACATACAACACTTCAACGAGTATTCTCGGCAAGAAGAAGCAAATAAGGTAGATTTGATAATTTTTTGGCGATGAAGAAATTCAGCTATTGTACAAAGTGAAGTAAAAATAAAACAAAAAAAGATTTCGAAAGTAAAGTCGAATTAAATTGCTTCGACTGTACTAACATAAATCCCTCTTATATTGTCAAATAAAACATATAAATAAAATTTGAGAGTTACACTATGAATTTTTTTTAATGTTCTGTTAACCATCTTTTCGATTATCCGTCATACCCTTGGTCCGGTGCCATGACGGATAATCGAGGTCCCATTGTACTTTTAAATTGAGAGAAACACCACACTTTGCAGGTTTATTTATGATAAATTACAATTTATTCCAGTGTTCGTGATCTGGAGCAATGGAGAGAACTGAAGAAGGCTTATGTTTACCATCATATATTAGTATTAAAAATACACAGCGAAACTTACGATTAAAATATTGGAATAATTTTCTATATAAATAAAAAAATATACATAAATTGTACTTACTTCATACATTAACCAAATACTAAATAAAGTTTGTAGAAAATTGTATACTATTAAAACGTCCCTAAGATCAAATGGTTTCTTATTTTCCATTAATTTAGGACCTATCACTTTGGAAAAAACTGCGTAGAACATACATATAAATAGAGTTGGTATTGGACTATCCATCATCCACCATCCTTCCACCCTAGGATCTGTAACAAAGAAAAATAACTTAATAATAAAAATTTATTAAATTTAAATATATACAAAATTATTTTATACAAGTTTGGTAGGTTAACATACCAATGCAAATACATTCTCCAATGTTTAAGAATGAACTTAAACCTAATCAAAACCTTGGAAGATGTTATTTCTTTTATTTTTATGTCAAAATCGAAATACACGGAGTTAAACTAGAGACAGCCAAATTTTGACTCACTCTAGATTTCAGCTGGTTGTTTCTAAAATTACAAGCAAGAGATTTGGGATACTTTAAATCACTAGAAATCAGATTCATCAGATTAACCGTCAATGATTCGCGATTACCCTATACCACAAGGGGATGGGATTTGTATATAGACTATATACAAATTGGTACAAGAAGTACGACTGGACTACCTCTCAGCCTAGAAACTTATTTGGTAACCTATCAAAAAGATTGCATGTACGGCTTACTATTACTGTAGCAATAAAATTAAATTTATTATAACCAAATCTAAAAACGAAATGACGGATTGACATCTTGAAATCCTCCGAGCAAAAAGAAATTTAAAAGTTCTTCTAGTTAGCTCTGAAGGTGTGCTAAAGCTAGTAATATACATGTTATTGAAAGACTTGAGAGTAAAGTGCTAAGAAATATCTTTGATGCTCCTTTTTATGTAGCAGATACTCCATAGTTTAGTTTAGTTTAGTTTAGAAATGAATCTTCATTGGAGAGACCACCAGATAACAAGAATTAAAAATAGTAATGTGTTTTTGAAAAAAAAATCAGTTAAAACAAAAACAACAAACAATCACATTTGGAAAAGTTCTTATGGAACATCTATAAATATAAAAACAGTAAGTAATAATACCCAACAATTGATTGATAGCAAATATCATAATGACTCTAAAACCAGATTCATATCGACCGATTCCTATTTGTCATGTAAAAAATCCTCCACAGAGTTCTTGAAATCATACTAAAAAATATTACATATCAAAACAACAGTATAATCAAGATACAATAAAAATTCTATAAAAAACAACTGCATGATGTCGGTTTTGTGAATGTCAACTTTTGGATATTGCCTGGCATCGATAATTATTAGGCAAACTCTAAGAGTTTGAGTAAAGCAAACTTACTAGAGCAAACTGTATAAAAATTAAAAATAAAATAAAATAGACAGTTAAGATTTGACTTCATTACAGCTTAACACCATTCGCTGATTGCTGATGCATATTTCTGCCTCTTGGCTTCCTCAGAGCAAACTCATGGTAAGCTCCAATGAAATAAAACCTTATCCATCCATACAGAAAATATTTAAAATATTTACTGACATACGCTAGGGCGACATCTACTAACGATAGTATAAATCAAAAATCGAATTCAGGATGCAGCCTAAATCTGAATAATATTTATATTTTCTCCTCCACATTAAACATTTAAGAAGGAACTACACTATCGAAAAAATAGCTTTGCGGTTCTGTTTAAAATATACTTAAAGGAAGCCATTAAAAGTTGTGAAGATTTTCTGGAATATACGTACAATTTAACGAGGAGAATACTTTGTACACCATTCACTTCACTGATGATCATGTAGTTGTATCCCAAGACAGAGATAACATTTACAAAATTTTATAAAAATACATAAATCATCAATCATCTCAACTCAATGAATAACAAGGACATTCCTAAAATAGATGTAATATTCAACCCAATAAGTAACTACGAAGAAGAGCATAGACATGCATTTAAAGAAAAACAATTAAGAATAAAATTCAAAAAATACTACTGACTACTTGACTGGAATCAATTCTTTGTTTATTCTTAGACAAGGGCTTCATTACGCCTGCACAGGCTGACCATCAAGGTCTATTGTGCTCTAGTCCATTGCATTACTCTAAGGGGCAAGAGTTATTGCAAAACCTTACAAGCTTACAACCCTTTTAGGTATATCACTATAATTAACTATTATTGTAATCCTGGATAATATCTGTTTTGAATTGTTTGACAATGAGGATTCTGCCACTTCGTCTTCTACCACCTTTCCATGCCTAGACACTCACACTTACCCACCATACAACAACCATAATTAAAATAAAATAATCATAAGGCGAGTTATGGAACTAGAGTGTAAAATGTGGCTGAAACAACAAATCCAAACTTTACTTAAAATAGTTCACTTATTAGAAAATAAGTGTTTTAGGATTTTGTACTTTTTAAACAGATTTTTTTATCAAAAAAAAAAAAAAAAAAAAAAAAAATAATAAGTGTTTTGTTTATACGATAAAAATTTAATTTAACCTAGACAAACAAAAATAAATTAATTGGGCAACAGGGATTCTATGTATAAAGGAAAATTTATATTCATTAAGCTATTTTGAAACCATTTAGTCTGTGTAATATCTAAACATATTAAAAACCGATTTAACTTATTTTAAAAAGATTCCGTTTATTGAATATATATATATATATATATATATATATATATATATATCCAGAAACGAATTTTTACATTTAAGTCCTTTTATAGAGGGCGGCATATCATCATTGCCATCCTTTTCTGTCTAAAAGACTGTCTTCGTTCACACTACGAATTTTGAATCCTACTGTTACCTACGCTGAAACTTGGATTATGGGAACGGCAGATGAAGAGGTATTCTTTCTCTTCTAATACGCACGATCTTCCTGATCTGATTCCATGTTGGTCATCTGAGAATGTTACTCAATTTATTGATTCTGTTTGATAAGACCTTTATGCTTTATAGTAAGCTTGAGTATGGTGATCGGTAGATTTATACTCCCATAGTCTTCTTTGCCTACTTGGGTATCCTTAGGTATCATAATGCTATCTGTCTATGTACCTTGCAATATATTTTTCTAGACATTTTTTCTTATCCATCTCTCTCTGTTGTCCCATTCTCCGTCGTTTAGGCCTCGCTTACTCATGGCGTCGTCTACTTCGTTCCTCTTTTCCTCCTTTCTATGGGGCTCCATTCGGTTATTATCTTTATCCATCTGCTGTTGCTAGTTCTTCTTACATGTCCACACCACCTTTGTCTTTTTTGTTCTATATATGTTAGTATGTCTGTTTCTATGGATGTTCTTTGCTTTATTTCGTCATTACTTCTCCTATCCATTCTTGTTACTCTGCAGCATCTTCGCAGGCATTCCATCTCTGTTGCTACTATCTTATTGCTGTTTTTCTTCTTTATAATCCAATTTTCTGCCCCATATGTCATAATACTTCGCACTAATGTTTTATAAATATATGTTTTTGTCTTCATATTTAATTGTCTATCCCACCATACTGAGTTAAGTTGTCGGATTGCTGTTCTTGTTTGTCCTAATCTTTGTGTAATTTCTTCCTCTGTTGTTGCCTTTTTCGTGACTATAAACCCCAAGTATTTGAATTTATCCTTTCCTTTGATTGTTGTTACGTTGTCATCAATCTGTAGATCTTCTATGTCTTCTTCACTTGTAGATAGGTACTCTGTTTTCGCGAGGTTAACATCTACGCCAGCCTTGGTATATTCTTCTTGTAGTTTCTTCATCATCTAGCTGAGGTCGTCCTAATCTTGTGCAATCACTACTTGATCGTCTGCAAAGCTTAACGTATATAGCTATTCGTTCCGTACCGGTACTCCCATGCCTTCGCATTTTCTTTTCCATGTAGTGTTAAGGCTTTCTCTAAGGATATTTTGAATAGGGTTGGAGATGTGGAACAACCCTGCAGGAGCCCTTTTGTTGTGATGAAGTCTCCTATGATTCTTGTTCCCACTTTAATGGACACTTTATTTTCTTTATACAGAGCTTTTGTAGCTTCTATGAGTTCCGTCTATATTTTTAATTTGTACATTGCCTCTATAGTTCTGACCTTGGTACAGAGTCATACTCCTTTCTCAGGTCCACAAATGCCAAATGTATATATCTATTTTTTGCTTGTTTTTTTTCCAACAGTTGTTACAGTGTGTATATGTGGTCTATGCATGATCTTCCTGCCGCGAAGCCTACCTGATCCTCCCCGATTTTGCCTTTTATCGCTTGCTCTATCTTTTCTCGCAGTATCTTCCCATATAATCTTCCGTCCATTCCTTTGGGAGCTGTTCTCTATTTATGGCTTTATGAAATATCCATTGTATCATCCGGTGTAATTTTTTTTCTTTGATTGATTTTTATTTTGTGTTTAATTGTATGTTATTATTTTCCTTTAATTCTGACATTTCTTTGTGTTAATTCCTTATAAATCTCCATATTTGTTTTTGTGCACTGTAGAAGTCGCTTTCCACTCTTTTTGTAAACGGCTCCCATCGTTCATTCTTTGTTCTCCTTACCAGTTCCTTTGTTTCATTTCTTATTCTTCTATAGGCTTCTCCGAATTCTTCTGGACTATTTGATGTGTTATACTTCAGTTAGGCCTCTCGCTTTTTCCCTTTGACTGCTTTTCTAAACCATGGGGATTTTTCTTATCTTTTTTGTTGATTATGAGGATTTCTAAGCTTCGATGGCTGGCTTCCTCCTCAATGTCCTCAATGTTGTTTTTAATTTTTTTCCAGCTCTCATTTATATCTTCGATGTTATTTGTTTTGTAAACATATTCTAATGTATATTTATACCCAAGGCCTTCAAGGTCGGTAAACAGCAAATACATATTTTATTTTATATAGAGAGAAATGTGGGTAGGTGGCGCCTCTGTGTTCAAACCAATCATTTCTCTTTCAACATTTCACCAGTACAAACACCTACTTAAATAGTCTGCTGCTTGGTGTAGAATTTAAATTGTAAAACAATTCCGCACAGGGCGAGCAGATTTCATTTTATTCCGTTTTATTAGGTCTTCGTAATACGTGCAGGAATTTCAGAGAGGAACTGACCGCTAGACTGACGTGTTTACCAACCGATTATAATATTGTATATAAACCGATTACTACTGCTTTTGCCGTCTTTTATGCATTTCATTAGTACGGCGATTTGTAGATTATAATCTGGTTATGAGTTACATTTATTTAT